GGAGGTCGGGTCGGGGCCATTCTTCAGCGCACCTGAAAACCCGACACTCTACAGAACCGGCCTCACACGTGCAGTCGCCCTGCGACGTCGCGCCCTCGTCCTCGGTCGACCTGCACGCGGCAGCCGAGGGCTTTAGGGTTTAGGGTTTAGGGTTTAGGGTTTAGGGTTTAGGGTTTAGGGTTTAGGGTTTAGGGTTTAGGGTTTAGGGTTTAGGGTTTTGGGTTTTGGGCTCAGGGATCTGGGTTTCGGGGTTGACGCCCTAACTCCTAAGCTGAAGGTGCTGCTTGTAGAAGCTACTGGAGATTCCCACGAGCCCTACGTCGAGCTAGACAAACCTCCCATCGAGGGACTCCTCCTTTGCTTCAGGGGGGGGTTTAGGGTTTAGGGTTTAGGGTTTAGGGTTTAGGGTTCTACCTTGAACCCCTAAGGTGGTACCCTTAGGCTTGGGGGCCGTTAAAGTCGGAATCGACAACCACTAAGCCCCTGAAAGGCCCCAATCCCTAAGCCCCAAACCCTAAACCCTACACCTAAATCCTGACAACCCCTAAGCCCCAGAAGCCCCAGAATCCCCACAGACCCTCAAAGCCCTCAACCCTAAACCCTAAACCCTAAACCCTGAACCCTGAACAGCTTCAAAAAAGAGACCTTTTCGCCCGAGATCAACCAGAATTCTGGGAACCTTGGGCTTGGCCCTAGTGCCCAAGTCTGCAAGGCCCGAAAGCCCTAAAGCCATTAAACCTGCTGAGGGCTTAGGGTTTAGGGTTTAGGGTTTAGGGTTTTGGGTTACCTCACGCCGCCTAAAAATTTAGGGAAAAGGGTTTGGGGCTTAGGGTTACCTGGAAACCCTACCAGCCCAAACCCCAAACTCGAACAACACCTAGGCCCTGAACCCTAAACCCTAAACCCTAAACCCTAAACCCTAAACCCTAAACCCTAAACCCTCAGCCCAAGAAGGCCCTCTCCGGCCCACTGTGTGCAGGGAAAGCGGCATAAAACTCGGGCATTGGGTGCAGAGCTCATCGCCGATGGAGGCCTCTGAGGGTTTGGGGTTTAGGGTTGAGGGTTTAGGGTTTAGGATTTAGTTTAGGATTTAGGGTTTAGGGTCCAGGGTTTAGGGTTTAGGGCTTAGGGTTTAGGGCTTAGGGTTTAGGATTTAGGGTTTAGGGTTTAGGGTTTTGGGTTTGGGTTAGGAGTGAGGATTTGGGTTCTGAGGTTAGGGTTTAGCGCTTCGGTTCAAGGGTTCAGGGTTTCATGGTCAAATACTTTTAGGTAGCCATAATAGGAACCCAGAACAAAAAAAGAGTATTAACGTACCCTTAAAAACTGTAGGTGAATAGGGCCCCAGGAACCCTACTTTGGATTAGACCCCGGAAGCAAAGTATATACGTTTTAGGTAGCTATAATAGGAACCCAGAACCAAAAAATGTATCGACGTTTCGTAACTGGCGAATCAATTCCCTGCGCACTGTGCCCTAACCCTAAACCCTAAACCCTAAGCCCTAAGCCCTAAACCCTCAACCCTCAAGCCTCAGCCAAACCCTGAACCCTGAACCCTGAACCCTGAACCCAGACCTAAACCCTGAACCCTGGACCCTCAAGCCTTAGCCATCTCACATGACCTATGGATGTCTGGCATCCTAAACCTGCTGGTTCTTAGTAAGGAGTGCGGGAATTCGGAACTTAAATCATTTCCCCTACATATACCCCTTTAAAGGATTCTAGAGGGTAACTATAAAATTCCATGATTCCCTACTAAGAACCAGCAAAAGCTTAGGGAGCCTGAGGGAGTTGTGGGGAGTATCCGGGAACCTTGGGGTACGTACCCCGCCCCTGAACACCCCCCTCCCTTAAGCACCCTCACGCCTTGCAAAAGTCTAAACCCTCAACCCCAAAGCCTAAACCCTAAAACCTAAACCCTAAACCCTGAACCCTGAACCCTAAACCCTAAACCCTAAACCCTAAACCCTAAACCCTAAACCCTAAACCCTAAACCCTAAACCCTAAACCCTAAACCCTAAACCCTAAACCCTAAACCCTACACCCTACACCCTGCCTTGTAAAATCCTTCGCTGCAAGGGGTGCATTGCAGCAGGGATGTGTCGTAGCCAAAGCCTCCGCTGCTTTGGGGTTTTGCTTGAGGGCTCAGCAGCACATCTTCCAGGGCTCAGGCGGTTTCGGGTTTAGGGCTTAGGGTTTCGGGTTTAGGGTTTAGGGTTTCGGGTTTCGGGTTTAGGGTTTGGGGTAGACCTGCTGAGTCTGAAACCCCTGGCCCGTACGAGAAAACCGTCGAGGGCTTTGGCCGCTTCCCTGTGTGGTGTGCCAGGCTCTGTCTATTGCACAGCACCCAAGAGCTCAAAAGTTTGAGAGCTCACAACTTGTAAGAGAACCCAACTTTAGAAAACAATGACTTCATGATAGTAGCCCTAAACCCTAAACCCTAAACCCTAGACCCTAGACCCTAGGCCCTAAACCCTAAACCCTAAACCCTAAACCCTAAACCCTAAACCCTAAACCCCCCAAAACTAACGAACACAGGCACGCAGAAGCCCGCCTGGGCCACAGCGGCACTCTTCCGCGCTCAGAACTGCAACTCCTGAAGCAGATATCTATAGGTGCGATTTAGGGTTTAGGGTTTAGGGTTTTAGGGTTTAGGGTTTTAGGGCTTTGGGGTTCGGGGTTTGGGGTTTAGGGTTTTTGGCCTACAACTGCAGGGCTTTTGAGCTGCTGCAGCGCGTCGGGGCTTGAGGCCTTTCAGGGCATGATCCTCTTCAACCCAACAAGGGAAAGTAAAAAATATCTCAAAAACCTACCTAGTAAAGTAGAGGGCTTTCAACGCAGCAGGAGCCTTGGGGGTTTCATGGTTTGGGTGTTGTAGGGCGTCGGGGCCTGCGGCTTTGGGGAGTCTGAATTTTGGGGGATTTTTCGGGGCTTTAGAGCTTCAAGGTGTTGGCTTTTGCCTCTCGATTCAAGGTTCGGGGATTTTAGGGTTTAGGGCTTAGGGTTAGGATTTTGCCGCTCTGCCATTCAATTTCTGACTTCAGTCTGGTCGCTGCGAGCTGCCTGCATCAGTGGTGTGTAGCCATCGTGGCAAGCCATGATCTGGGGTCCAGCAAACTTACGACTTCAACGTGGCCCTTGCGAGCTGCGAGTGTCAAGGCTGTGCGTCCAACACTGTCGGTCACGGCCTTGTCGGCGCCGGCCTCCACCAGCAAACGCACCACCTCGACGTAGCCATGACGAGCTGCAGTCATCAAGGCTGTGTGGTCGTGGTACATGAACACACCCTCGTCGTCGATCCCCGGCAGCAAAGCTATCTCTGCCGGCGTCAAGAAGCCGTCTTTGTCGGCCACGTCCTTCTCGGCACCGGCCTCCACCAGCAAGCGCACGACTTCAACGCGGTTTCTGCAAGCTGCCAACATCAGGGCTGTGGCCCCAGCGTGGTCACACGTACATGTCATGTCCTTGTCGGCGCCGGCCTCCACCAGCAAACGTACCATTTCAACGCGGCCCTGGCGAGATGCGAGCATCAGCGAGGTCATGCCAAGTACGGCAAAGTTCTTGTCAGCGCCGGCATCCACCAGCAAACGCACGACTTCAACGTGACCCGCGGCAGATGCGACAAAAAGCGGGCTCTCATCAAGTTCATTCACCAGGTTGGGGTCCAGGGGCAGCTGCAGCATGGACTCGACCTGGAGTCTGCTGATGATTATCTGATTTGGCTCGCCTAACTGCACGGCTTTCTACAAACCCCGTAAACCCGAAACCATGCTATAGCCCTAAACCCTAAACCCTAAACCCTAAACCCTAAACCTTAGACCCTCAACCCTAGACCCTAAACCCCCACCTTATCCACGGAGCCGTTCTTGGCTGCAGCCGCGAGCTGGTGCGCTCGCGCCTCGGAACCGTCGCAGAAATCTTCGAGAATCAGGACCAAATCCAGGCCAGAGTCGATCTTTTCAGCATCCTCCAGTCTGGTACCCTGATGGATGAGCCTCTGCTGAAATAGGATACCCCTAGCAGACATGATAGTTTGTTGGCTGTTTCTTATAGGAATGACTGTGCCCAGAAATTAGAAATTTAGCTACTTCTTAGGAATTACTGATTAGAAATTGTTCCCATAAGAATCCCTAAGGAGCCTCTGCCTGAAGCGCGGGGGAAGGCCGTGCAGCTGATGCAATCGCTGCTTCACGCCCCTCACGCTGCTCACCTTCTCGACCGGAATGCTTGCCACTTCGTGCCCGGAGAGCATGCGGACATGCAGCATCCCCCTAAAAACCCTAAAAACCCTGTAAACCCTGTAAACCCTATAAACCCTATAAACCCTATAAACCCTAAACTGCTAGCCACCGGGAGCAGAGGCAGCGAAAGCCGATGACTGCATGCACAGAGTGGCGCTCTCCATGCGCTTAAGAAACACTGCTATGCCAACCCCTTCCTCAGGGTTCCTACAGTCTAGGGTTTAGGGTTTAGGGTTTAGCGTTCTGCCGTACCTAAGCCCGATACCCCTGAATGCCTAAACCCTAAACTGCTATAACCCCGCTAAAGGGCTAGCCGAGACGCTGAAACCCATCTTCATACCCCAAGAACCTGCAGAAGACACTGCAGGACACCCTCAGCCAAAAACCCTAAACCCGCAACTTGCGAAAGGTGAAGCAGCTGTCGGGGTGCTTATGTAGAAGTTAGGGTTTGGGTTAAGGGTTCGGGTGTTTGGGGCTTAGGGTTTTGCAGTTCGGGCTTGGGGGTTGGGGGGTGGGGGGGGTGTTGAGGGTTTTGTGGGCTAGGCTCATAATTGAGGTTAGGGCTGTTTTTGGTTTACGGGAGTTCGGGTCTCGGGTTTAGGCCTTAAAGCGTGCTGTAACAAAGTGAACGAGGGCATCCAAAGGGCTCTGACGAGGAGCTTTTTGTTCGGATAACTTGCCGGTCCAAATCATGAATCTTAAGAAACACCTAGAACCTCGAAATCGTAGCGCCCAGCAGAACTCAGCCGCCGCCTGGGATATTTACAGCAATTGGAACATCTCACGAACCAAGGTCATCAAGGAGATCAAGTGTCCAAGAGCTTCCGCAACGCGCAGCCTGTCCATCCAGAACTTGCTCAGGCTGGATTCGGCGCAGTGCAGCACCAGCATTCGCACAATGTCCCAGTGGCCACACTCAGATGCATGGAGCAAGCAACTGTCGTAAGGCGCGCCAGCACAACACAGCAAGTCCACGACATGGGCGTGCCCGTGGGAAGCCGCATGCTCCAACGCAGACATCCCGAAGGTGGGGGTCAAGCTCCCGTCTGCTCCAGCATCCAACAAGAGCTCCACGATGTACAGGTGCCCCGCAGAGGCTGCATGACAAAGGGGGGTCATGCATTCATAGCAGTCACTCAAGATGTTGCATTCGTGGACAAGCCTCTGGCAAAATCTCGAACATCCAGAACATGTAGCAAATGTGCTGCTTCAAGTCTTTCACCTCACTCAACTCTCCGGCACTTACTGTGGCAAGCTCCTCCCCAGAAATCCCCCAGACGAGCAGCAGGGCCATGAGCGTCGCGAGGATTCTCTTGCACACAGCGTCTTGGAAACGGGCAGGCGAAGCAACGGGACACTTCTGCAAACCCATCCCAGCCCAAATCCTAAGGCCCTATAAACCCCGAGCCAAAACTAAGGCAAAACCCCCAAGCCCCGAATCCCCCTAAACTTCAACCCTAAACCATGCACCACGAAACCTCGAGTTTCGGATTTAATTCAAGAGCCTCCAAAGCCGTGCCGGCTCAGGGAGGGTGCTGCATGAATTTGTGCATGCTGTCTCAATTGCGCGCGTCTACCTCCTACACGCGCGAGTGTGAAGCGCGCCCGTGAGGCAGCACGCAATTATTCATGCAGCACGCAACTCGAGGCAGCATGGCTAGGGAGGCCCTTGTCTGTGGTCACCCATCCTGAACCCTACCCCTAAACTGCACCTAAGCCCGAAACCACTATTTGCTTTCAAAACTCCCCCCCCCCCCCCCCAGAAAATGAAAATAGTAATAATGTTCCTCCTTATAAGGGCAAAATAGGGATTATTATCTTTCTTACATTTTCACAATTTGTATTTTGCTTCTTTTTTTTTTGGGGGGGGGGTCTTAAGCAAATAGTAGTAAACTGTTTAGGGTTTGTAGGGGGTAGGCTTCGGGACGTATTGGGGGTAGGGGTTTAGGGGTTCAGGGGTTCAACAGGTGCAGGGGTTTGGGGGTTTGCGGGCTTACGGTTTCAGGCGTTTATGGTTCATTATGGCGAAGAAAGAACGAAAGACGGAAAGAACCCTAAACCCTAAACCCTAAACCCTAAACCCTAAACCCTAAACCCTAAACCCTAAACCCTAAACCCTAAACCCTAAACACGCAACAAGAAGAAGACCAAAAGCCTTTAGCAGAGTTTTGGGCTCAAAAAGCCCTAAGCCCCACACGAAGCTCAGGAACTACCACCACCCCCTGGCCTGGAGGGATTGCCTCCCTTTCCGGGCACCTTGCGTGCACATCACAGAGGGGCGTTAGGGCCCTTAAGGCGTTCTATGACAAGCTGGTCCTGGGAAGTACTATACTTGGCTGACTTCTGAACCTCTCAAAGTTTAACTTTTAGGCGCCTTATTGTAGTTTCTACAATAGCCCAAAAGGTTACAGTCCTAAGAGCCAGCCAGAAGAAAGCCAAGTATAGTGCTTGCGGAAATCTCCCGCAGAATCGGCGATGCCAGCCGCTAACCAGGCGAAGACCATCTAACACGTGAGAAACCCTAAACCCTAAACCCTACACCCTAAAACCCGACAGCAGGGAGGCTAGTCTACACGGCCTGTGGCTGCCAAGGCTCAAGAGACCATGTAAGGCGCAACTCGAAAAAATTGGGGGGGGGGGGGGGGGGGGGGGGCTCTTATAATAACCTGGGAATAATACTAGAAAATATTCCGACCCCTAGATTGCTTCGCGGCCCCGGCGGTGCCAACAATGATAGGGAGTAGCACAAGGAGTTAGGGCCTGCAGAGATTTATAAGGTCTTCGACCCAAACCCTCAAACCCCCAAGCCCTAAACTTTCAACCCTAAACCCTAAACCCTAAATCCGAAACCATCAAGCCTTAAAGCATGAACTCGAGCCCCCCAAAACCGTGAAACTTTTCAACCCCTACTTAGGGTTTCGGGTTTAGGGTTTAGAGGTTTAGGTTTTAGGGTTTAGGGTTTAGGGTTTAGGGTTTAGGGTTTAGGGTTGGGGTTTGGGGTTTGGGGTTTGGGGTTTGGGGTTTGGGGTTTGGGGTTTGGGGTTTGGGATTTGGGGTTTGGGGTTTGGGGTTTGGGGCTTACGGTTTAGGGTTTAGGGCTCCTAAGCCCCTAACCCTTGTGGCACCTCACTGGGGCGGCCGTGGCCGCGGGGGGCGAGGCCACTGTCAGCACGAGCCCCGAGGAGCCAAACGTCCTCAGACTCTTCCGGCTGTGCGGTTTAGGGTTTAGGGTTTAGGGTTTAGGGTTTGGGTTTAGGGTTTGGGGTGGTTTGGGGTTTAGGGTTTAGGGTTTAGCTTAGGGCTTGGGGTTTAGGGTTTAGGGTTTAGGGTTTAGGGTTTAGGGTTTAGGGTTTAGGGTTTAGGGTTTAGGGTTTAGGGTTTAGGGTGTTAGGGCTTAGTTTATTGGAAGTCCTGCATAGACAGCAAGTTCGAGCCGCAGTCGCAACGAATGGACCCGTGTCAGCCAGGGAATCAAGGGACTAAAGGAGGGACCCTCATGGGTTTATTTGGTGGCTACTTCGGAGCCACTTAGGTATATAGGACATAAGGCACATATAGGGGGTTTTTTGGGGGGTAAGATTAAGGGTCCCTTCGAGGGATCCCTCCTTACACCCTTAAGGGGCTCAACCTTGCTAAGGACAGACAATCAGCCTAGGGTAGAAGATTTGCAAGCAAACGCACCCAAGGCCCTGAAGCCCTAAGCCCTAAGCCCTAAGCCCTAAACCCTAAACCCTAGAACCCTGAACCCTAATCCCTTTAAGGCCCTTACCCCGCAACTTGGGAGCCTTACGGCCTTGACTTCTGGGATTCTATACTCATTGGCTCTGAGAAGGCAATTTTGGAAGGAGGGAACCGCTCAACCCTAAACCCTAAACCCTAAACCCCAAACCCCAAACCCCAAACCCCAAACCCCAAACCCTAAACCCTAAACCCTAAACCCTAACCCTAAACCCTAAACTGTTCGACGGCCCTATAAAAGCTTCGCAGGGGCCCCCAAGCGACCCAATTCCGTACTGCCTGGGCCCTGCAGTCCTTATAAACCCCTGATCCCCCCTAGACCCTAAACCCTAAACCCTAAACCCTAAACCCTAAACCCTAAACCCTAAACCCTAAACCCTAAACCCTAAACCCTAAACCCTAAACCCTAAACCCTAAACCCTCACCCTAGCCGAACACCCTGAACCCCCAGCCCCCACAACTCACCAAACCCCTCAACCCTAAGCCTCGACACCGCTAACCGCCCAACTCCCCTAAACCCTAAACCTCCAAAGCCCCAAAGACCCTGAACCCTTAAACCCACGGACCCTGAACCCGAACCCCCAGACCCTAAACCCTAAACCACCAAACCCCCCAAACGCCCAAACCCCAAACCCTAAACCCCAAACCCTAAACCCCAAACCCTCACCCTAAACCCTAACCCCTAAACCCCTAAGCCAAGGTACGGATGCACCTCGATATCGGCCTCCAGCTCCCCACTCAGGGCTTCAACCTTGTAGGACAGTTTGAGGAATGCTTAGGGGTTTAGGGTTTAGGGTTTGGGGTTGAGGGTTTGGGGTTTAGGGTCTAGGGTTTTTGGGGCGTAGGGTTTAGGGTTTGGGGTTTGAGGTTTAGGGGTTAGGGGTTAGGGGTACTCAGGGCTTTGACCTGTCATTCGTATCTTTATCATTCGGAGTACTCTGAGTATCATTCACATTGTCATCCTCATTCTTCTGGCTCTAGGTATGCATAATCCCCTCCCCCTGATACTAAACTCCACCCCAATTCTAAATAATGTTTCCCGGACTCTCCTAGCACCCAGCCCAATGCTAAACCTGTTTGAGCATAGAGGGGTGGGGGGTTCGAGGGCCTCCGCCCTTGAGTTGAGCCATTAGGGTTTTCAATTAGGGTTTAGGGCTTAAGGCTCAGAGGATTTGCAGGGTGTAGGGCTCCAGGCTCAAAGGGTTTAACTAGCGTTTAGGGCTTAAGGCAAACCCTAACTGAACCCTGATCCCCAAACCCCAAACCCTATACTCCCTCCTTCTCTCCCAGGCTTCAGATTTCAGGTTTTAGGTTTTAGGCACCCCTGATTTTAAATATTTTCCGGTCGAGGCGAATTTAGAATTGCGAATGGCGCGGGGGGGGGGGGGGGGGGGGGGGGGGGGGGCGGATTTGGTATTAGGCGGAGGGGATTGAATGAAAATAATGAAGAAGAATACAAGACATAAATATATGTATATATATACACACACATATATACGTGTGTGTGTGTGTGTGTGTATGTGTATACTTATATACATATATTCTCTTTTCTGCGGATTTTTTGTTGGCGGCCAGAGTTTAGGCTAGGGTCCAGTTTTTCGGAGCTTTTGGGTAGACGTTGCAGCTCATAGCTTATTTAGGGCGAAGCCCTCAACCAGGGTTTTTCCTTCTCCTTCTTTTGGGGGGGGGGGGGGGGCACGGGTTGGGGCTTCAGTTGAGGCCTGTTGCGGGGGAATGTAGTGTTGGGGTGGGTGTGGTTTAGCTTGTGCTTCTCAACTCTATACAAGCCCTAGACCCTACACTGCACCCGGGCTGCTCCAGTCCGCTTCGCCAAACATCCCAAACTCTCAACGCCCCAAAATCTCAGACGCCCAACCCCAAATATCACACAAGCCACCCTAAACTCTAAAACCCTACACCCGAAACCATTAACCCTGAACCCCAAAAACCCAAACCCTAAAACCCCCAACCCAAAAACCATTAATAAACCGCAAACCCCAAACACGAGAACCCAAACCCCAAAACCTAAACCCTAAAACCCTAAACCGCAAACCCTAAACCCTGAACCCTAAAACCCTAAACCCTAAACCATCCTAAACCCTATACCCCAAACCCTAAACCTCAAACCCTAAAACCCCAAACCCTGAAACCCAAACCCGAAACCCTGAACCCTAAACCCCCCTAAACCCTAAACCCGAAACCCTAAACCCCAAACCCCAAACCCCAAACCCTAAAACCCAAAGAAGCCCCAAACCCTAAGCCCCAAACCCCAAACCTTAAACCCAAAACCCTAAACCCAACGCCTAAACCCCAAACCCCGAACCCTAAATCCCAAACCCTGAACCCTAAAACCCTAAGGAACTCCTGGAAATCCACAAGAA